GACCCCAAAAACATCACTGAAACACCCCAAAAACATCCCCTGAACCCCAAAAACTCCCCTGAACCATCCCAAAACCCCCCTGAAGCACCCCAAAACCCCCTGACCCCACCCCGAAATCCCCAATCCCTGCTGCAGGGGCCGTTCCTGGGTGGCACCGGCTGAGAAAGGGGGGATCCCCCCAAAACCGCCCCCCAAAACCATCTCAGAACCCCAAAATCTGCCCCAAAAGCAGCCTGGGCACCCCGAGAGTGCCTCGTTTGTCCTGCTCCGGCCACGGACACCCCAATATCACCCCGATATTATCCTGATATCATCTTGATATCACCCCGATATCACCCTTATATCATCTCGATATCACCCTGATATCATCCCGATATCATCCCAATATCACCCTGATATCATCCCGATATCATCCCGATATCACCCCGATATCATCCTGATATCACTCCGATATCATCCTGATATCACCTTGATATCACCCTGATATCATCCTGATATCATCTCGATATCACCCTGATAGCATCCCGATATCACCCCAATATCATCCCGATATCATCTCGATATCATCCTGAAATCACCCCGATATCATCCTGATATCACCCTGATATCATCCCGATATCACCCCAATATCACCCCGATATCATCCCGATATCATCCTGATATCACCCTTATATCATCCTGATATCATCCTGATATCACATATCATCCTGATATCACCCCGATATCACCCCCCCTGATATCATCCCGATATCATCCTGATATCACCCTTATATCATCCTGATATCATCCTGATATCACCCTGAAATCATCCTGAAATCATCCCGATATCATCCTGATATCACCCCGATATCACCCCAATATCATCCTGAAATCATCCCGATATCATCCTGATATCACCCCGATATCATCCTGATATCACCCCGATATCACCCCGATATCATCCTGATATCATCTCAATATCATCCCAATATCACCCTGATATCACCCCGATATCATCCTGAAATCATCCCGATATCATCCTGATATCACCCCGATATCACCCCGATGATATCATCCCGATATCATCCTGATATTATGTCAATATCATCCCGATATCATCCCGATATCACCTCGATATCATCCTGATATCACCCCGATATCACCCCGATGATATCATCCCGATATCATCCTGATATTATCTCAATATCATCCCGATATCATCCTGATATCATCCCGATATCACCTCGATATCATCCTGATATCACCCCGATATCACCCCAATGATATCATCCCGATATCACCCCGATATCATCCTGATATCATCCTGATATCATCCCGATATCACCCCAATGATATCATCCTGAAATCATCCCGATATCATCCCGATATCACCTCGATATCATCCGATACCACCCCGATGTCATCCTGATACCACCCCGATATCATCCTGATATCACCTCGATATCACTTCAATGTCACCAAATATCCCGATATCACCCGACTGTCACCTGGTATCACCCCAACACTCCCGATACACCCCAATATCCCCCGGTAAAACCCCGATACTCCCTGATACCCCCCAATATCGCCCGATACAACCCGATATAACCCCCGATAAAACCCCGATATAACCCCGATATAACCCTAATAACCCCGATATAATCCTAATAACCCTCAATATAACCCTAATAACCCTCGATATAATCCTAATAACCCCCGATAACCCCTGAAATCGCCCGATATTGCCTGATATAACCCCGATAACCCTTGATATAACCCCAATA